TGCGAAGCCCAGAGCCGCCCCCCCCCCCCCCTCGCCCCACTTGCTCATCCAGCGGGGCCCTGGGGAACGGCTGCCGGAGTCTCCTTCAAGCTCCTGCAGCATCTCCCCAAGCCCCTGAGGTCTCCTCCACAGAGGAATCTCTCTATTTAGCAAGGACACGGCCCCCCCCATGCCACCAGCCCTGCAGCCAGCTGTGCTCAGGCCACCTGGCACCATCTTCACCCTCTCCACCCTTCCCTGTGCCCCGAGACGTGCAACCAGGGTGTTGCTCCTCCTGCCAGCAGCACCATCCCCGCTTCACACTGGCGTTTCCTGCGTGACCTCCCCAATGGGACATCCCCAGCAAGGACCCCGAGCCCCGACCCGTGGCGATGTCCCATGAGGAAGAGGAGGAGAAGGTGCCTGACCTGTGATGCGGTGCAGGGAGAAGGTGAGGAGCATCGTGAGCAGCAGGACCGCCTTTGCAGCGAGCATGGTGGTTGCGTGAGGGCTCTTTGTCTGGCTTCGTGCTGCCTTGCCCGGAGTCTGTGGCTTTGCCTCTCACCGCCCCATCCTTTATCCTCTGCATGCCGCCCACTTTAATCACTTTTCCAAAAATTTTGGACTCATTCTTAGAAGCTTCTTCCCAGGGACGAGGGGATTTCTGGTGGTGTTTATTGTGGAGGTGTGTCCAGCAGTGGCTGGGAAGGGGCGGGGGGCCCAGCCACTTCTGCTTTCTGTGGAAGAGCCGTGAGGTTGCAAGGGGGTTCCAGGAGGCTTTGGGGGAACTGAAATTTACCCAGGACAGCAGATCATAGAATCATGGAATGGTTTGGGTTGGAAGGGACCTCAAAGATCATCTAGTTCCAACCCCCCTGCCGTGGGCAGGGACACCCTCCACTACACCAGGTTGCTCAAAGCCTCATCCAGCCTGGCCTTGAACACTGCCAGGGATGGGGCAGCCACAGCTTCTCTGGGCAACCTGTGCCAGTGCCTCACCATCCTCAGAGGGAAGAATTTCTTCCTTAGATCTCATCTAAATCTCCCCTCTTTCAGTTCAAAGCCATTGCCCCTTGTCCTGTCACTACACACACTTGTCCAAAGCTTCTCTCCAGCTTTCCTGGAGGCCCCCTTTAAGTACGGGAAGACTGCAATAAGATCACCCCGGAGCCTTCTCTTCTCCAGGCTGAACAGCCCCAACTCTTCATAGGAGAGGTGCTTCAGCCCTCACATCATCTCCGTGGCCTCCTCTGGACCCACTCCAACAGCTCCGTGTCCTTCTGATGTTGGGGACTCCAGAGCTGAATGCAGTATTCCAGGTGGGGTCTCACGAGAGCAGAGTAGAGGGGCAGAATCATCTTCCTCAACCTGCAGATGAAAACCAACTTCCTCTGGAGACAAGACATCAGGTCTAACGCTCGCCTGTTTATTTCTGACAGGAGAGACAATCCAAACTCCATGAGCAGGAACAGGTCATTGATGAGTTTAGCTGGTTCGCTTGGATCATCAAAGACAAGTGACTTATGAGATCCCCCCACAAAGACCAGCCTCCCCAGTCTCCCGGGCCATACCACGGCCACGGGTTAGGCAGTGACCCGCTGAAGAGATGGGATGGGATGGGATGGGATGGGATGGGATGGGATGGGATGGGATGGGACGGGACGGATGTTGTCAGGCAGGAAAAGACACGTTGAACAGAGCTAGGAGGGACCCTGGAGCTGAGATGGTTTTTAGTGAGTTCAGGAGACTTTATAGAAGGGGCAGAAATGGGGCAATGGCAGTGGGGCATCTGAGGAGAGTCTGAGTCTGATCCCAGGTCTGATCCCAAGTCTGATTCCAAGCGTTGCCTCTGCCTCCCACACCGGCGATGAGAAGGTCAGAAGGATGGGGACTTGTGGTTGTCAATGCACAGATAGGTCCTTTCTGCAGGGAGGTGGGACAAACCTTACCACAACCCCAAGAGAGTCATCCCGACCTCTGGAGAGGACCCTGAGGGTGAGAGGGGTGGGTGGCACACACCTCGGCAGCAGCACCGTGGGTTGCCAGTGGTCATCAGCCCAGCTTCCATGTGGAGATCTGCCCCTGGGAAGGCGAGATGCAGCTGTGGTTGGTGCACGAGGAGGGGGTGAGGATGCACTGGGCATTCGCATGGGATGACAGTGAGTGGGAGCATGGGAAGGGGACCTGGCTGTGGCTTGGGGATGGGGTAAAGCTTCTTGGAGGAGAAGAAAGGTGGAAATGAATTTCCTTGAAGATTATCTCATGTTTGCATGACTTTTCTGGAAGGAGAAAGGAGAAGGAAACAAATCAAATGTGCTGACAGCTCTGGTTTGGCAGATGCGGTCTGCAGGACATCAGGTCTGGTGGCCTGGTACAGCAGCAGGGTGACCATAAGGAGAGCTGGACACAGCACCGCTGGTTTCTAAAGCCACTTTTCCCCTGGAAAGGGCTCTGCAGGAAGAAAACGGCCAATACCCAGCCCCTGAGCCCCCTTCTACAGTCTCTGCATCCTCCCTGGCTCTCCCACTTTTCCTTTTTTGCAGCTCCTCCCACGTGCCTGATGTACAGACCCTCGAGCCCAAGAAGCTGCCAGGGTCACACCACCCCTAGACATGGGTTAAAGGCAAAGGGCTGCAATTCAGGGGGAACTGAGCTTTAGAAACTAAAATGGGTAGGTGTGAACACAAAAAAAACAGCGTAGAGATGGGAAATATTCTCTGACTCGTGCAATGTTTTGGGTTTGGAGTGGGTAATCACAAAAACTAGTAGTTTAATGGGGTGTGCTGATCCTCTGCAAATGATAAATGCCAAAGAAAATGGAAGAGCAGAAGGCACTTGCACATTGGATGCTGGTCCCTGACGCCAATGCCACCAAAACCCTGTCTGGAGGAGATCTTCATCGCCATCAACCATGGCCGAAAAGGTGAAACTATAACAATAACTGACTTTCGTGATCCACCAGAGCCTTCTTGCCATGGGTGGGAATAACAGCATTGGAAAAGGCAGTAGTGCATGTGTTGGGGGACACAGCGTTACAAACGCTATGGTAGATCCCAAAAAGACCTTACAGATGGGTCAGATCTAGATCTCGAACAGCGATGCAAATCCCAATTAGCATTAGATGATCTATCAAGGGCCAAAGGGGGGGGTTTGCGCTCCTGTTAACACTCATCGTTGTTTCTGTCTAGACCAAGATGAAAAATAGAAATGGACATAATGACAATCCATAGCCACCTGAAAGTTTTTTTGTAAAACAAAAACCGCCCCCCTTTTGATGGTTGAGGTTGGACACCATTGGTCAATGGTTTGAAAATGTGCTTAAAAAGTTGGTCAAAAAGAGAGAGAGAAAGAGAGATCTAATGGCTATAGCAGTAACCTACATGTCTGTCCAATTAACTACTGGTTGTGCTGAGCAGAGAGAGAGAGAGACAAAAAGCAGCAGCAATTACTCAGCAAGAGATAAAGCTGGTGGCAATGCAAACATGTGGGAGAGAAAAAGAAATTAAAGCAGAAGAAAACTCTTTAATATACAAATATAAAGGCTGCCCTGGGGCCCCGAGTGTCCCTGCTGTGTCCATTCTCCAGTTCCATGGATCCTGCTTGGACGGGATCAGAGATGGGGTGTCTGTGGGGCCAGACTGTTCCCTGTGGGTCTGGGAACTGGAGGTCTCATGGGCACCAAGAGGCAGGTGGAGATCTCTGGGATGCACCAGGAGGTGCTTCAGCTTGAGGAAGCCCTTTAAACAGTTGCCTTTACTCTTCAGGAGCCTTCAGAGCCTGGAGACACCCTGTTTGCTTGGTCTTGGTGCCCTCTCCTGACAGCTGAGCAAGGCTTTCCCAGAATGGCAGGTCCCAGGTTACCCAGACCTTCCCATAGGACACACAATCACTGTCCCATTCTCCAGTCCTCAGTTTGGAAAAACCTCTGCCAGGGGTTTCTGATGCACATGGTGGCATCAAAGCACTGGCAGTGACCTCACAGCTCTGGTCCCATCCTTGTCCCCAGGCAACAGCAGCTGCAGAGGACTGTGCTGATTGGAGAAGGTAGCTCCAAAGGACAACCCAAGCCCCACCATGCTGGATGCCATGGGGCTGGCACCACACAGCTGGCTCCCCTGCTCAAGGGCACCAACTGCCTCCTTTTCCTCAGCCCCAGATTCCTGCTTCTCCTGGTGGCTTGGGCCACTGGTGCAGCACTGCCAGAACATGTCATTGGGCAGGAGGGATGCTCTGGACCAGCCCTTTCTGGAGAACCTGGCAAGACAGTGTCCTGCAAGGACCTGGTCCTGCTCAGCAGGATGGCTCCTGGCTGAGGGGGCTGGCAGGGACCCACATGCACTGTTAGATGGGGCACGAGCCCTCTCAATGGGCTCAGCCAGAGCTGAGATCATGATGATGCTGGTTCTGTGCTGGCAGATGTCTGCTGGGAGCCGATGCTGGGGAAGGCAGTTGAAGGATCAGGATGGAGGTGAGATCCTGCTTGGCCCCAGCACCATCTCCTCCAGGCGATGGGATGCTCCTCCTTGGTCAGCTCTGGGCTCCCAGACACACTGTGTTCACTCCCTGCGTGGTGGTGGGCTGGATGTCCCCATACAGCCAGACCGCTGGGGTCTGGGCTGCCGCCACGACACAGCTGTCAGGAGAGGGCACCAAGTCCAAGCAAACAGGGTGTCTCCAGGCTCTGAAGGTTCCTGAAGAGTAAAGGCAACTGTTTAAAGGGCTTCCTCAAGCTGAAGCACCTCCTGGTGCACCCCAGAGATCTCCACCTGCCTCTTGGTGCCCATGAGACCTCCGGTTCCCAGAGCTCAGTGTGTCAGGGTCATCCCTCAGTGCTGGGTGGGTTTTGCCTCTACCATGAAAGCATCCCTGGAGGTGCTGCTGCCGAAATCCCGTTACCCCGGAGCTGGGAATGGCGGCAGCGGAGCTGCCAGGGGCAGCTGTTGCTCAGGGCCTGGCTGGGCATTGACCAGCTGGTGGCGAGCGATGTCTTTTGCATCCCTCGGCAGGGATTTTTTTGTGGTTTTCTTTTTTTGGTTGGTTGGTTGTCTTTTTTTTCCCCTTTAGTTATTAAACCATCTTGGGGAAGGGAAGGAAGATGCGGGGGATGCTCAGAGCCCGGGCGTTTGTCTGCCCGAGTCACCATGACGCGGGACGGACCCCGCTCTGCTGGCCATGGCCGAACACCTGCTGCGGATGGGGAGAAGTGAGTGGGTCCCTCATTTTGGTTTTGGTTTGCACACCCGGATTTTGCTTTTCCTATTAAACTATCTTCATCTCAACCCACAAGTTTCCTCATTGTTGCCCTCCCGTTCTCCCCCCTGCTCCGAGCCCCTGGCAGGGCTCACTGGTGGGCTCCCCCAGCCCCTGGCACCGACGGAGTTTCCCTGGGGAGCCCTTGGCTGCTCCTGCATCTCAGGTCTCCTCTACCCACCCAGGGAGCTCCGCAGAGCTGCCCTTCTCTGCAGCACAGCTGCGGTCCGGGAGAGCCCTGGGGA